TGCCTGGTCTAGAACCCGGGAAGGAAGATGTGGCAGCCGTTTGTGAATACTTTCAACAGTACCAGAGAAAGTTGGTGCATTTGTGCATGGACTCTCACCCCTACATCGATTGATGAGGAACTACTCAAGCGGACTCTTTCTTTAGCTTGCAAACTCAGGCACTTGAAATCATCCTCGAAGAACAATAACAAACAGGTTTTGTATTCAGATAAAGATTACGTTTGTGTATGTTGTACCCTAAACTCTCTTTGCGTAGTGTTTTGTTGTAAAATTGATTTAAGAAGACCAGATAAATTCCCCTGGCTGTTTGAGCATTACTTCATTATGTTGCTCAAAGACATACGATACAAAATTATTGGAAAAATACGAGGGAAACTCATTTGATACATTCTATCTTTTTTGTTGTTGCCCTCAATGAAAGAATCTTCTCCGACATCGAACTGATCCAAGTTCTTCGTACTCAGCCTTGGTGACACACATGGACTCAAAATCCGGGCTCGAAGCTAAAAGTGAACCCCCTCTCCATACACCTAGTATGGGACTGCAAAGATAAGAGTTTAGAACACAAAAAAAAAAAGAGAGCTGCAAAATAAGAGAGTTCGTAGGAAAGGATTGAGTTTGTTTACTCCTCTTGAGTTGTTATCTTCAAATCAAAGTGGTCCGGGACAAGTGGTCGAAGCTCTCCTTCTCTGCAATATGTGAGACATGAACTTGTTTAATAAGTTATTACTCAGGATTCATCATATAAATTTAACCTTACAGTCTCTCCTTGAGTTGCGGAAATAATGTGCTTCCACCAGTTAAGATGATGCTGCCACAAAGCACCATACACCATACATTAGACAAGACAGCTCATTGAATGGCAAGTAAAGCCAAGTAGGTAAATTCCACCTTTGGTACAAAACAGGTTGCAAGTAAGAATGGCATGAGCTTACAGCTCGGACAATGCACTCTGCAAGTCCCGCCTGATTCATCCCTGTCCAAAAGAAAGAAAACAGCATCATGATTCCCGTCAAGCTTCATCTTGTTCTTGTTGATACAAACCTAAGTCTGCAGGGTGGAATAAGGTCTCCGGTACAAGGAAACGCTCATTTGTCAAGTCAATCTCCTGCAGAAGAAGAGGAAGGAGGTGGAATTTAGGGTCTCTACCAGGAGAGAAAGAAGAAGGAGGAGGAGATGGAATTTACGTTGTTGTTTTTGTTCATGTCAGCCTTCCTCCTCTCCCCAATAAAATCCTCCGTTCCCTGGTTGGCAGCTTTGACATAACCTTTGGTATGTGTGAGGCCGTCAGGAAGAACATATGTAGACTTGATGAGGTTTTGATTTCGGAGATCTCTTCGGAGGTCGAGTGAGACGAAGCAGAGCTTCTCCTTAGCATCATCCATTAAGAAAGTTTCATCCATGACGTTGATAGATCGATAAGACACCAATTCCTTCAAGTAATTGGTGAATGCTTTGCCCCCCAAATCGATCCTCCTAATGGCGTGATTGAGTGTGAAATTGTGGAGGACAGGGACAGCGTGAGTGAAGGAGAAGCCACAATCGACAACGAGGCTACACTGAGTTCGTGAGAGGACCGAATCGGGTTGACGGCTCGCTTCGTAGAGATGAACAAGGGACTGAGGGTGGGCGACGTAGAGAGAGGAAAAGCCCAAGTCCTCGAACACAAGCTCGTCGGTCGTGCGCTGGACGGAAGGAATGGCCAACGGCGCCTCGGTC